GAGACTACCTCTCTATTTATAGGCAAACCTCCTTGGATTCAAGGGCTAAGATCAATCCCCATCCAAGGGCCCCCATTGGTTGAAACTTAACTTAAACCTCCTTAGACCAAGAGAAGCAAACTTGGATTTTGCTTCTTTGCAAGTGGATTTTCCCTACAAAAATCTCATGGGATTAATGTCCCTTTCATTGACATCAATTTGCCTTTCTCTTCCTTCCTTGGTCTTTCTTTTCAAAAGAGGGCTGAACAATTGAGAGATTTTCAGTAAAATCGTTCCGTCTTATTGCTGTGTTTATTGTGTATATATATTGTACAATGATAGATATACAAGGAAAGTAAATAAACGTAATTCCTAAAAATATGCTTTTCTTCCCAAATACAAATCCACCCATATATGGTAACATTTCTTAGGCAAGTTGGTTAAGTAAACAACTTGTATAAGTCTCCCAAAATATCTCAAAATATCATAGCATTCAGCCCATGGTATTTTCCCCTTAAAAACCACCTAGTATGCTAGGAAAAACTGTCCATGTCGCTGCCTACGTCATGCTGCCTGCAGTCAGCGTTGCTGTGTGCTGCCTGCATCCTGTGATGACTGCAGTCTGTGTCTGGCTACGTCCTGCCTGCGATGTCCTAGGAGCTGCCTGCAATCTGCCTGCGATGATTGCCTGTGTTGCAGCCTGTGTCGCAGTGACTGCAGTCACACCCAAATTTTCTAGGCACCACCTGGACTGCTGTCATTGACACCAGATTTTCCCGGCCACAACCTGGACATGGTGTTGCGACCAGGCGGGACGTAAGTTGCCGGTCACGCACACTGCTAGCTATGGTGTCCTCATGGGAACTGGATTGTCAGTGAGGAGTGGTGGTATAGGTAATGGGGTGACACTGTCCCTGCTGAGTATTGTTGTAGTGGACGACTTTCTCCCGCTGAAATTAGGGTGTACAGATGTTATACTGGGAATGAAATGGCTCGAAACATTAGGTAAAGATGCAGGTGAACTGGGGTACGTTGATGATGTGATTTAAAGTAGTCGGCAAATCTGTGTGGTGTTGCAAGGGGATCCGAGCTTACATAAGACACAAGTCTCATTGAAGTCGATGGTTAAAACATTGAAGGATGGGGGGTCAAGGGGTACTTTTGGAACTAGGAAGTATGGGGGTGGACAATGGGCCTACAATAACAGAGAATACTAGCTCGTTCATAGAGGTGTTGCAACAGTTTCGGGAGGCGTTTGAGTGGCCCAATGAGCTGTCCCCTTCTCGAGCTCAAGATCATGCGATTGTTCTGCAACCTGAGTCGGCTCCAGTAAATGTTGGACCTTATAGCTATCTGTTTGTCGAAAAACACGAAATTGTGAGGTCGGTCAGGGAAATGCTAGCTGGAGGAACAATCCAACCTAGGTTCAGTCCATTTTTGAGTCCTGTGTCACCGGTAAAGTGAAGGATGGCAATTGGAGATTTTGCATCGATTATCGCACCCTCAACAAAATTACCGCACCTACCCACTTTTAGATCCCCATGATCGGCGAGCTATTGGATGAGTTATATGAGGCCAAGATCTTTTCGAAGCTCGACTTGAAGTCTGGTTATCATCAAATCAGAGTGAGGGCAGAGGATGTTCCCAAAACGGCTTTTTGGATTCATGAGGGCCATCGTGAATTCCTAGTCATGCCATTTGGGCTGACTAATGCACCAGCATCGTTTCAAAGTCTGATGAATGAGGTTTTTGAACCCTATCCTATAGAAGTTTGTACTCTTTTTTTACGATATTTTGGTTTATAGTGGATCGGCCGAGGACCACCAACAGCATTTGGAGATCGTTTTACGTTGTTTGCATGATCGTAAACTGTTTTCCAAAGAGAAGAAATGTGTGTTCGGCCAAAGACAATTACTATACCTTGATCATATTATATCAAGAGAAGGGGTGGCCGTGAACCAGACCAAAATTGACGCCGCCATGTTAAACTGGCCCAAACCTGAAACTCTGCGAGAATTGAGAGGTTTTCAGGGGCTCACAGGTTATTATCGACGATTTGTTGCGGGTTATGCTAAGATAGCATGGCCATCGACAGATTTGCTGAAGGATGGGTTTTCCTGGAACAAACAGGCTGAGGCAGCCTTCCAGGCATTAAAAACAGTTATGACGGAGATTCCGGTACTTGCGCTGCCCCATTTTACCCAGGAGTTTGTGGTTGAAACTAATGCATTGGGACACGGGTTGGGAGCAGTTTTAATGCAAAATCAGCACCCTCTTGCATATTTCAGCCAAGTGCTACCACAGAATGTGCGTCACGAGTCCGTGTATGAGGGGGAGTTGATGGCCATTGTGTTCGCAATTCAGAAATGGCGTCACTACTTATTAAGTCGACACTTTGTGGTGAGAACAGATCAGAGAAGTCTAAAATTTCTTTTGGAACAGCGTCTGGTAAGCGATCATCAAAAGTGGCTGACCAAGTTCTTGGGTTACGACTTTGAGATTCGGTATCGATCTAGACTCGAGAATAAGGCCGCGAATGCCCTCTCAAGGATTGAGCCAGTTCTGAACTTGTTAACTATCTCCATTCCTAGGGTGGTACAATTGGAAGAGATTAAGAAAGGGTGGCTGAGGATATTGATCTGGGGAAGCTGGTGACAGGACTGTAGTCAGGGTAATCCGTTAAAGGGGGTTACTACGTGTTGGATAGCCAATTGCTGTACACGGGTAGGCTGGTGCTTCCTAGACATTCCCCCATTTGTCACAGTAGTGTTACAAGAAAGCCATGACATAAAAACCAGCGGCCATTCGGGCTTTCTTAAGACTTACAAAAGAGTTGCTAGAGATGTGTATTGGAGTGGGATGAAGAAAGATGTTCGTGACTTTGTCGCTCGTTGTGAGGTTTGTCAACAAAGTAAATATATGGCCCTATCACCTAGTGGTCTTTTGCAACCGCTCCCTATTCCAAATTTAATTTGGTTGATATCTCCTTGAATTTCATCGAAGGCCTGCCAAAGTCAGGGGTGAGACACTATTCTGGTGCTAGTCGATCGGCTGAGCAAATATGGTCACTTTATTGGTCTAAAACACTCGTTTGCTGCTCCCCTAGTGGCAGCCGTCTTTGTCAGAGAGATTGTCCACTTGCATGGCATACCACAATCAATACTTTCCGATCGGGATCGAATTTTCATGAGCAAGTTTTGGGCTGAATCATTCAAGGCTCAGGGAACTAGCCTCAAACATAGCACGGCTTACCATCCACAAATTGATGGTCAGAGGTCGTAAATCGATGTTTAGAGACTTATTTGAGGAGCTTTGCATCCTGCAAGCCACGCTCTTGGAGTCAATGGTTACCATGGGCAGAGTTTTGGTACAATACATCTTTCCAAAGCCATGAAACGCGCACTCCTTCCAGATTGTGTTTGGCTGTGATCCTCCCCCTGTTTGCCTATTGAGAAGGGCATGACTGTGGTTTCAGCTGTGGAGAAGTCACTTTTAGATCGCGATGAAGTTCTCCAGGAACTAAAAGTGCAGCTAACTCGTGCTCAACAGAGAATGGAACTGGTGGCCAACGGGCATTGGCGTGATGTGCAATTTGAAGTGGGGGACTTGGTATACCTCAAATTACGGCCTTACCGCCAGAAATATGTGGCTACTTGCCCTTATGCTAAGCTGTCCTCTAAATACTATGGGCCATTTGAAGTGGAAGCAAGAGTGGGACAGGTAGCATACAAACTGAAACTCCCTCCTACTGCAGCTATACACTCAGTTTTTCATGTCTCTCTGCTCCGTAAGGCTATTGGCGCTAGTCAGTCCATCCCGCGACTTCCCTCACAACTTGAGGCAGAGGAACAGATACAGGTTGAACCAGAGGCACTGTTACAGGTCAGGCAGGGTTCTAGTACAGGTTCAGTGCGGGAGGTGTTGATCGAATGGAAGAACTTACCTGACTTTGAAGCTACGTGGAACCTTTCAACATCATCCAGCAGCAGTTCCCGGAGTTCCACCTTGAGGACAAGGTGGATTTCAGGGTAGGGGTAATGATAGACCCCCGGTTAAATTCACATGCGTCAGAAGGAAGAAATGACAAAATGCAGTTAGCAACAACCCAGCTGAGGCACCAGAATAAAGGCAGTCAGTCCAAGGCAGTTAGTTCAAAAGGGTAAATTAGGGAATTGACTCTGGGGGGAGTATGTCAATAAATCTAATAGGAGGGAGGGCGGTAATTTTCATTCACGTTTCTGTTGAGTTTTGTGGGTGAGAGACCAGGCCTCTCGAATGCCTTGGATCATTTCCTCCTTTCAGTGTTTCATTTCAAGGAATAACAGTTCATTTCAGAGCTTAATTCTTCTTACTTCATAGGGTCCTAACAATATCATGTTGGACCACCCTGTATAAATTGTAAGATAGTGAGTGAATTTATTTATAATTTGTATATTTTCAACTACTGTAGTACATTTTCTAGCAGTTGGTCAATTTTTTTTTCCAATCATGGCAAAATGCATATTGTTTTTATGAATCCTTCAATATTTTTAAATATTTCATGATGAAGCTTCCGTTTAGAATAATTTGATACTCCATTTGCACTTAAAATGTTATAGATCAACTTGCTTCGTACTATTGTTAATCTAGGGTAAATGGAAACTGGTAGGACTAGTGTATCTCAACTTAAGCTCCCTTTTGGCCCCATTAAATTTATAATACATTTTTCTCTCTCTTATTTTTAACCTCACATTCTCAGATAAAATAATATTACACATAAACCAAAAACTTTTCCTTCTTTTTTAACCACACATTCTCTAAAAAATATTATTTCAAAAATTATAACATGAAATAATGGGAGTCAAACGGGGGCTAAAATGACTGCCTTTCTTGTTTATACGTAATACAATGCAGTTGCCACTTAATATTGATTTTTCGATTGGACTGGTTTTTTGAATGCTAGAAAACTACTTTTTCTCCTTTTAACCGAACTGTCGTCTTTGTTGAGGATGGCCAAGTTGACATCATAAAATTACTGGCAGGTTGTTGCAAGCTTGTGTGCTGCTGCTATTATTGGAAGCTGGTGCAACTTTTTGACTGTTTTATACGTTGGTGAGAGATCTTACTATATTCTAACACATGGTTTAGTTATGAGATTGAGGTTCTCTTGTGAACATTGGAAACCAGAATTCCGCTACTGCAGAGTAATTGTTAATGTTTAGTTTCTCTTTGATATTGCTATTACAATTGAATGAGATGGTTCGAGTTGGAGGAGATTTAGATAATAGTTGAAAAAGTGGGTATTTCTTTAGCTTCTCTTTTCATTGATAAACGTAATGGCTGAGAATCCTCCCTGTCATATCATACACTTTTAAACAAATAGTTTCCTTTATGGTGACAGGAACTTAATTTTGAAAATTTTGCATCCTTCACCAATTATTTTGTTTATTATGACCTGTAAAAAGAAAAGGGTAAACCAACTTTACTCATCATCTTTCAGCATAAAATAGAGTAAACTTGAAAGATTCAGCCTTATCCGCTAAGAATGTTTGGTTTTTCCTTTGTTTTTTTTTTTTTTTGTATTTTGGTGTCAAATTTGGAGTTCTTCCTGCATCTAAGTTGTGGTTTTGAGCTCGAGCTTGATGTTTTTGCATACTATTTTCTCTAATGCACAGCTCTTCGTTTCCACACTCTAGTTTCCTTCATGTGACTAGAAACATGAATACTGCACTTTGTAAGGTGGACTGGACAACACTCGACTAGATTAATGAAGAAAACGAAGTTAAATCTTGTCTATTGCAAGGTCTAGTGTTGCATGCCAAACAAGCTTGAAGATTGTTCATGATGGTATCTACGCCTACATCCATCACTCTGTTCTGGAGAGGCACGTTACATTAATGTTTTAAGAATAGAGTGTTGGTTGCTAAGTGGAGAATGCGGAAAAAGTGAAAAGGGAAAAAGGAAATGCTGCTTGAGAACAGCGAGGCAAATAAATTTGTTTCCCCCCGAGATGTCATACATGGAATTTGTTAGCATCAATTTTGGTTCCTTTTTCTATTTTCTCTATATGTTCCCTTGACATATTCATGAACTCAAGAAAATTTCTCTCTAACAGGATTTGTTGCTGCTCACACATTGCCTGTACTTTATGAAAGACACGAAGATCGAGTTGATAGGTTTGTGTACAAAGTCCTCGATCAGCTTCGGCACAACTACCGCAGACTTGATTCTGGTGTCTTCAGCCGAATTCCGAAGGGCAAGCTTAGGGGAAAGAAGGCTGACTAGATTTTTGTGGCGGCCATCTATTTAGTGTAAGGTAAGTACCTGGTGAATTGAACTACAATATATGCTGAAGTATTACATCCATATTGTGCGCAGAAACAGATTGATGTTATGTATTCACTTTAGCTCGAGAATTTGTCGAAAATTATTGGGCATGTAGTTCTTGTCTTTTTGAGTATTAATTCACCGTTGTAATATTCAGTGAAATTAGAGCATTTGAAGACATTATGTCCCATTATTGGAAAAACAAAATATTGACAAATCAATGATGATTTCTGGGGGCACGCTACCTGCAGTCGAGTATGTCTTGCAATTCGATTTTTCTTCTTAATTTTTTTTTTTTTTTATCTCGCAAATTACTTATTTTCTTTCTATGTTATTTTTTATTTGATCTAGCTTACAAAAGTGAACTAAAATCCTAGGTAGAGATTATTTTATAAATCAATGCATTACGGTGTTATGGTAGTTTGGACATGTCCCTTTGGGATATTCAATAAAATTGAAACTATACAAAGAAGGTTGGTGTTGTTCTTGCGGAGGGATGACATGCACAGATCGAGAAACGGTAATTTGGACATTTCCCTGAACATGAATTACATTATAGTCGCCTTCTTTATTCTTAAGAGAACCTCCCCCGAACAAGAATATTTCAAGTGGAACATCTTTAAGAGAGATGGTTCACTTTCCCATCGAGTCGAGTAGCCTCGAATAGCTCTTTTCTCCCTCATTTCTTATTCATAGTCTTCTGTCCTTTCTCCTTGTCCGAGTAGTAGCAGCAGCTGGAGAGTCGGTAATTCAATTGGGATACTGGGGGATGTTGTGATAGACTGCCCTCCTAGAGGGCATTTGACAACTAATGCGGGGGCATGATATCCCACAAATCCTCAAGTCTTTGTGGACGTCCAAAAAAATTGAAATGTCTGGGAAGGGTAATATGTCCCGACGTGAGGATGACATGCACAGATTGAGAAGGGTAGTTTGGACATGTCTATGCAAAGCATTGGTACATAACTTGTATCAATCTTGAACCATTTATTCAACTTTTATGGATGCCCCATCAATTTGTTGTCTCCATTAGATTCAGGCTAAATATAAGGGCAAGTTCTTGGTGTTATACATGTGGAAGACATAACTTCAAAAGGTGGTTTGCTAGTTTCTTGATTTCTTTTGCTGTCCATTTCCAGAGCCGAAAAAAAAGAAAGAACACAAAATAGAAACGAGGAGAAGATGTAAGATTTTGTTGCCACACATTAATCAATCAAAGAGAGATTAAACAATTAAAAGAAAGATTGATTTATCCTTCATTTCTTTAAACTGATGGGGAAAAAAATATAATTATATCGATTTTTGAAATGCCTTTTTTGATATTCATCAATGTCTCCTCTATTGACCCTACAAGAGAAGCAGATATTAATCATGTGCATTCTTGAAAAAAATCCAAAGAATTCCAAGGGAATCCTGCAAGGTTCGTTCTTTCTTTTCATTTCTTCTGGATTTAAAGCCTACCGAGAGGTCTACTGTAGATCAGAAATTATATAAATTTAGAAAAAGGAGGGATGAATTTTCCAGAAGATATAATTGTAGAGATTTTATCGAGATTACCGGTAAAATCATTGCTTAGGTTTAAATGTGTGCGCAAATCATGGTATTATCTTCTTAAGAACCCTATTTTCAATTTAAAGCACCAAAAATCCTATTTACTTGTGAGCAGACGAGATTACATATCAAATGGAAGGGTTATCTCATTATTTGGAAATGAGAACACAATTATTGAAACATTTGATGACCAAAATCTGTCGACATTCTTGAATGGGATGTTTGGTCACATAAGACTAATAGGGCCATGTAATGGCATTGTTTGTTTATATGGTTTTTATGATGATATTGCTTTGTGGAATCCTGCAATTCAAGATTTTAAGGTACTATCTCGATCCCAAATACCTCGTCGTCTAGATGTTGTAATACGAGGTGGTGACATTGGAGTAGGTTTTGATCCGATTACTTGTGATTTCAAGGTAATACAAATCTTATTTTGCATGTCTAATGATCACAACCTCATTTATCAAGTCAAGATATACTCGTTAAGAACGGGTTTATGGAAAAAATATGAAGATATTGTACCCGCAAACATTATGTACTATAATGTTTGGAGTATGGTATACAAAAATGAAACATTTTGTTGGTGGGCCCAAGATGGCAATGTTGAGGTTATTCTCTCATTTGACATGGGTAAAGAGAGTTTCCAAATGACACCATTACCATGTGATATTGAGGTTTTGGGGGGAGAACATAGGACTACAAGGGCTATTTCTCTATACAAAGAATCTATTGCATTGATTGTTTATCGTCTAAAAGAAGTTGATAAAATTTTTGACATATGGGTTACAAAGGAATTAGGGGAAAATGGTGATTCTTGGACTAAATTGTCAAGTATTGGTCGTCTTTCTCAAGTGGAGAGACCATCAGGTTTTTGGAATGGTGAATTCATGCTTGAAAGTTGTAGCGGGGAACTCGTTCTTTATGATCCTAGTAAAGAAATGAAGAATCTTGGAATTCATGGAAAGAGGGAGAGGGTCGAAGTCCTTGTTTATCTAGAGAGTTTGTTTTCAGTCAATGCTCTCAGCCTTCGGATGTGATGAAAGTCTCCTTAATTCGACTAAATATGTTTTATTATTTTTGTCCTTTCCTTTTCTAATATGGTTGTATATATTATGTATGTGTAATACTTTTTTGTTGTATTATTTGAAAAGTTGTACTGGAAAATCTACTACAATTTGGGATAGGATCAGTGCCCAAATATTGGATCTATGTCTTTGTAAAGATATTTTTTTCTTCTGAAAATCAATATATATGATTAATTTGTTTATTCTCAATTCTATATTTATCATTTTGGGGAGTGGAGGATACAAGGTACCGATCTTTAAACCTTTTATCTCAGTTATCTAAACATTAATTCTTTGACCAAATGAGGCAATGTGAATTTTGTCAATATCTATTAATGTCTATTATTAAAACATTAATAAGTGCTAAAAGTTCTATCATGAAAGAATCATAATTGTGTTACGAGGATAAGAGTCTTTCAAACGGGAAAAAGTAAAATACGAAGAGTGGATGTCACTCTTAAATTAACAGAACAAGGTGGGCAGAATATGCAAGCATATAGTAACAAATTGCTTTAAAAATGGACAAGAATTTCCCAACAATTGCAAACATCACAAGTTTACCACAATATTGGTTAGAGAGAATAACGACAAAGGTCCTCAGCTTATAGTTCTTGTTGCATTTTCGTCCCTTGCCTGTTGTTGTTCTTCAGGTGGTCCTTGCTATGTGCCTCTCACGTAGGGAAGATAAAATGGTTCGCCGACTCTGGCCGACCGTAGCTCGGCCCGGGAAAGCCCGAGCAGAGCCGTCTTGTGGCTCGGAACCAAGGATCCCAAGCTCGGGCAGAGCCCCATTTTGGGGGCAAATGTTCAAGCCTGAGTCGGCTCGAGTAGGCTCGTGTCTTAGCCAAGTAAAAAAAGAAAATTTAAAAACAATAAAATCATTTCGCAGGCAGCTATGATAGCTACTGTCTGCGTTTGCAGGCAGCTATGTTTAAATATAAAAAAAAAAAAAATCGAGTTGGCTCTACTCGTAAAGGTCCGAGCCGAAAAGCTCAGGTAGAGCCTAAAATTTTTGGCCGAACAATAAAAAAAAAAAAAAAATCGAGTTGGCTCTACTCGTAAAGGTCCGAGCCGAAAAGCTCAGGTAGAGCCTAAAATTTTTGGCCGAACAAAAGCTCGGCTTGACTAGGGCAAAAAAAAGCTCGAACCATTTATATTCGAGTCGAGGCCGAGCTTTGAGTTTCGGCTCATGACTCAACTCGACTCGTTGACTCCTCTACTCTCACGTGTCATTTTAAGGATAACTTAGACAAAAATCGTCATTTGAAACTACATTCCAATTTGTTGTAATCCTAGAGAACCTCTCTCTTAAAATTAAGAGTAATTTAGAAGGAAGTAATCCTTTGAGATTATGGATGATGTTGAAAAGTACGGGTCGTGGATCACCATTTGGGGTAATCCGATCCATAAGATATCCAAAGGATTTGAGGGAGTTGTTTGAATTTAGAATTCAAATCCACAACTCCCATTCAATCCTAGTATTCGTCAAGGAATGTTATTTATAATGAAAACTATTGATAATATACGTACCAATTCGTTATTTAATGCATGATGCAAAAAAAAAAAAAAAAAAAA